CCTGAAAATGGCACATGGCAAATGTGGCGATGGGGAAGCAGCAAGGGGGCCGTACAAAGGGGGCCCCCTGAGAGACTTTTGGAAATTGGCAACAGCAAAAGGAAAGGCCCGGGATAAGGGGGGCCCCTGGCAGATTTTGGGGGCCGGCAGCAGCTTTTGGAGGCCCGTAATCCCCCCACACCCATGTCAAAAAAATTTAACCCACCAGCATTTGAGGGAGACCTAAAGTGGCACATGGCAGAGTGTGGCGATGGAACAGCACAATGGGGGGCCCCTACAGGGACCCATGACAGACTCGGGCTTGGCAGCCCCGCAAGAGGAGGCGGTATAAGGGCCCTGGGGAGTTAGGGCCTGGCAGCAGCTTGGGAGGGCCCCTAATCGCCCAGCACCCAGGCAAAAAATTTAACACACCAGCAGTGGGGAGGGGAAACCCGAAAAATGGGACATGGGAGAGGGGGGCGATGGAACAGCACAATGGGGCCGTACAGGGACCCATGAGAGACTCTGGAACCGGCAGCAGCATGAGGAGGGGAAGGCGTACGGGGCCCATGGCAGATTAGTGGCCTGGCAGCAGCTAGGGGAGCCCGTAATCTGCCAGCACCCTATGTCCAAAAATTGAACCACCAGCAGTGTGAGGAGAACCTTGAAAGTGCACATGGCAGAGTGTGGCGTTGGAGACTCGCACTATGGGCCGTACAGGGCCCATGACAGACTCTGACTTGGCACAGCATGAGGAGGTGGTATAGGGGCCCATGGCAGATTAGGGCCTAGCAGCAGCTATGGAGGGCCCTAATCGGCCAGCACCCTATGTCAAAACATGGTCATGACACCAGCCTGTGAGGAGACCTGAATGTGGCACATTGGCAGAGTGTATTGCGATGGAGACCAGCATAGCAATGGGAGGCCGGTACAGGAACCTGTAGCATGCTGGAGACTAATCGGGAGGTGTACCCCCTAGACTACTGGACCTGGCAGCAGCCCATTTGAGGAGCGGTATTAGGGGCCCATCTCTGGACCTGGCACAGCATGAGGAGGCGGTATAGGGGCCCATGGCAGATTAGGGGCCTGGCAGCAGCTATGGAGGCCCGTAATCTGCCAGCACCCTATGACAAAAAATGAACACACCAGCAGTGTGAGGAGACCTGAAAGTGGCACAAAATGGCAGAGTGTGGCGATGGAACAGCAGCAATGGGAGGCCGTACAGGGACCCATGAGAGACTCTGGACCTGGCAGCAGCATGAGGAGGCGGTACGGGGGCCCATGGCAGATTAGGGCCTGGCAGCAGCTATGGGAGGCCCGTAATCTGCCAGCACCCTATGTCAAAAAATTGAACACACCCAGCAGTGTGAGGAGACCTGAAAGTGGCACATGGCAGAGTGTGGCGATGGAGACAGCAGCAATGGGAGGCCGTACAGGGACCCATGACAGACTCTGGACCTGGCAGCAGCATGAGGAGGCGGTATAGGGGCCCATGGCAGATTAGGGGCCTGGCAGCAGCTATGGGAGGCCCGTAATCTGCCAGCACCCTATGTCAAAAAATGGAACACACCAGCAGTGTGAGGAGACCTGAAAGTGGCACATGGCAGAGTGTGGCGATGGAGACAGCAGCAATGGGAGGCCGTACAGGGACCCATGAGAGACTCTGACTGGACCTGCAGCAGCATGAGGAGGCGGTATAGGGGCCCATGGCAGATTAGGGGCCTGGCAGCAGCTATGGGAGGCCCGTAATCTGCCAGCACCCTATGTCAAAAAATTGAACACACCAGCAGTGTGAGGAGACCTGAAAGTGGCACATGGCAGAGTGTGGCGATGGAGACAGCAGCAATGGGAGGCCGTACAGGGACCCATGACAGACGACTGGCAGCAGCATGAGGAGGCGGTATAGGGGCCCATGGCAGATTAGGGGCCTGGCAGCAGCTATGGGAGGCCCGTAATCTGCCAGCACCCTATGTCAAAAAATGGAACACACCAGCAGTGTGTGAGGAGACCTGAAAGTGGCACATGGCAGAGTGTGGCGATGGAGACAGCAGCAATGGGAGGCCGTACAGGGACCCATGAGAGACTCTGGACCTGGGCAGCAGCATGAGGAGGCGGTATAGGGGCCCATGGCAGATTAGGGGCCTGGCAGCAGCTATGGGAGGCCCGTAATCTGCCAGCACCCTATGACAAAAAATGGAACACACCAGCAGTGTGAGAGACCTGAAAGTGGCACATGGCAGGGGCATGATTCATGGCGGATTTAATCAGTTGTGTCAGGAACTGGTGGTTTGAAATCCAGACTAATCCACGCCTGATTCATTTTCACAAACGTGAGTCTCTCCACACTTTGGGTGGACAGTCGTGTCCTCCGCGGAGTTACAATACCTCCTGCCGCACTAAACACGCGCTCCGATGCCACGCTACACGCTACTGGCCGGGCATGACAGCCTTTCAAGGGCAAATTCAGCTAGTTGGGGCCAAAGGTCAAGTTTCGTTGCCCAGTAGTCAAGGGGATTGTCTACCTCGGTTGGCAGGGTGCTGTCCAAGTAGGCCCAAGCCTGTTGTTTGAGGTCCTGCTCCAGGTCCACCTGATGCTGCTGCTGCTGCGGCTGGTTAGTAGTTTCCTCACTGCGCTGGTGAAGAAAGCTACTCATCATCGACTGCAGACTGAGGCAGCCGCTGCTGGTGGAGCTACCACTGCTCCTACCACCCCACCCCTCCCCTGCTGCCATGGCAGCGGAACGCGAGCGCACAGGGCCCACAGTGTCTGAGGATGGACGTTGGCGCACAAAGGCAGAGACCAACTGACTACATAGGTGGTTTTTATAGTACGTTATTTTGGCCTCCCTCTCAGCAGGTGTGAAAAAGGCCACCATTTTTGAACGGTAGCGAGGGTCCAACAAGGTGGACAGCCAAAAGTCATCCCTCTGTCTGATGGTTATTATTCGGCTGTCGCTACGCAAGCAACCGAGCATGCTATGGGCCATTTGTGCCAAGGAATGCGAGGGACTCCCTGCCTCCATCTCCACAGCATACTGCCACGGTGCGTCTGGGTCCTCTGTCTCCTCCTCCTCCTCCTCTACCACATGCTCCTGCTCCTCCACTCCTGTCCGCTGAGTGGAAAAACCACCCATTTCACTCAATAATTCCTGAGCACAAATGTCCTCCTCTACCTCCTCCTCTTCTTCCTGTCCTGCCCCCACAGGGGTCATGTGGCGTTGAGATCTGTGCGCCACGTCTACCGCACCCTGACCAGCCATTTGTTAACAGCATTTGTTCCAGGACGTGCAACAGAGGAATGACGTCGTTCATCCCATAGTCCTGCCGACTCACGAAATAGCGTGGCCTCCTCAAAGGGCCTGAGCAAGCGGCAGGTGTCACCATGAGCTGCCAATGGCTGACATCGAAGTTACACAGGGGAGTACCTTTATCCGCTTGTAACATCAGGAAATCGGTGATGGCCTTTCGCTGTTCGTAAAGGCGGTCTAACATGTGTAGGGTTGAATTCCACCTTGTTGCAACGTCGCAGATCAGGCGATGCTGTGGAATTCCGTTCTGCCGCTGCAGCTCAAGGAGGGTGTGCTTTGCGGTGTAGGAATGGCTGAAATGCATGCAAAGTTTACGTGACATTTTAAGGATGTCTTGCAGTGGGATGGTGGATTTTAGGAACCGCTTGACAACCAGATTGAACACGTGAGCCATGCATGGCGCATGGCACAACCTTCCTTGACGCAGAGCAGACACCATGTTCTTTCCGTTGTCGGTCAACATGGTTCCGATTTTCAGTTTGCGCGGAGACAGCCATCTGTCGATTTCTCTGTTCATTACACTCAGAAGTTCCTCCCCTGTGTGACTACGTTCGCCAAGGCATACCAGGTGCAGCACAGCGTGACACCGTTTGCGCCCTGCACATGTGATATGCCGGTCGGGTAATGGGACTTGGCACGGGGGTGGCGGCTGAGGACACGAAGGAAGAAGAGGTGGTAGAGGCGGACATGTTTTGTGGACCAAGGACGTGCAAACGTGGAGGCAAAAGCGGCGTGACCTGTCCAAGTTGCTGGTGCGGCTGTGACGGCACCACGTTCACCCAGTGGGCCGTAAATGACATGTACTGTCCCTGACCGTAGTTACAGCTCCACACGTCGGCGCTGCCGTGCACTTTGGCAGAGACCGACATGCTAAAGACTGGCCCACCATCTCTTCTACATGTGAATGCAGGGCTGGCACTGCCTTTTTTTGGCGAAGAAATGACGGCTTGGCACTCTCCACCGCGGCGCGGCACAAGCCATCATTTCTCGGAAAGGTGCTGAGTCCAGTCCACCACTTGGAAAGGGAGGGACTGCAGCACCAGCAACTTGGACAGGAGGACGTTCAGCTTTTGCACCGTCGGGTGCGTGCTCGCAAACTGTTGTCTCTTGGAAACGGATTCCAAGAAAGACTGCTGACGGAATCCGTGAAGAGGAGTAGTAGCAGGAGAAGGAGCATCTGAACGAGCGGAAGATGGCAACGAGCGACAACTCCCCTCAGCAGAGGTGTTGGAGCCTTGACTGGCTGATAGAGGGCGATTGACGTCGGGTGACGGAGCAAGTAACGGAGCGGGTGATGGAGCGGGGGCTGGGGCGGGCAGAACCGCCGTATCTTTATCACGGTTTTCCCAGGCCACCAAATGGCGACGCTGCATATGCTGCCGCAACGCTGTAGTCCCAACATGGGCCCCCTGGCCACGCTTGACTTTCTGGCCACATAGTCGACATACGGCTACGTTTACTTCCTCGGGCGGCTTGACAAAAAATTGCCACACCGCCGAGTAGGAAACTTTGCCCCCGATACTCCTCACTGGCTGGCTGACTGCTGCTTCCTCCGTGCACACCGGCACCACTACTGGCCGTGGTGGTAGGCTGCAGTGGAGCTGGTGCTGTACTCCGTGGCCGTTTGCCTCCACTGACACTGCTGCGACCCTGCTGCCTCCTGGGCAACCCACCGACTGTTTTGCTCGCTGCCAAGCTGCCACCCTCTTCTCCTGATGATGCGGAAGCAATAGCCTGATGACGACGAGGCTGCCAAGTGCGATCAGCCTCATCATCATCAATTAGGGTCTCCGCCTCACTACTAGCCCCCTCGGCTGCGTGTGGGTCAGGAGACAGACCTGTCTCTAGACCGGCTACCGAGCCACTCTCCTCGCCACTACTTCTTCGCCTGGCTGCTGAAGAGGCGGATGTCTCCCCCCGTTCCTGACCGCCCTCTGTTTGCTCTTCCTCACTGTACAGTGGGGCTGAGCCCACAGCATGCGATACTTCGCTTGGTGAGGGAACACCAAAGGACAGGGGCAGGTAGAGGACACGTGATTTCAGTGGGCTTGGTCCCGGGCCATGCCAACTAACGGTTGTGTCTGACGTACCCACCGACCGTTGGCTGTAGGTGTCAGAGGTGACCTGGGGAAGAGGAAGACGACCGAGCCAACCAATCGATGACGGCAGGGTTGTCGGTGGAGACACGACCGCTGGATGACACCGGGAGCACTGGCCTCTGGCTGCGAATAGTGCTGCCTCGACCCCTTCCTCTGCTGCCACGTCTGCTCGCTCCTAAAACATTGCCTCCTCTGCCACTCCTCTGCATGTTGTCTGACATACTCTTTAATTAAACGATTCTGTGTCCCTGAGTAACAATTCTGTGTCTGTCCCTGAGTAACAATTCTGTGTCCCTGAGTAACGTTTCTGTGGCCCTAAGTAACAGTTCTGTGGCCCTCAGTAACAATTCTGTGTCCCTCAGTAACAATTCTGTGTCCCTCAGTAACAATTCTGTGTCTGTCCCTGAGTAACAATTCTGTGTCCCTGAGTAACAATTCTGTGTCCCTGAGTAACAATTCTGTGTCCCTCAGTAACAATTCAGTAACAATTCTGTGTCCCTCAGTAACAATTCTGTGTCCCTGAGTAACAATTCTGTGTCCCTGAGTAACAATTCTGTGTCCCTGAGTAACAATTCTGTGTCCCTCAGTAACAATTCTGTGTCCCTCAGTAACAATTCTGTGTCCCTGAGTAACAATTCTGTGTCCCTAAGTAACAATTCTGTGGCCCTAAGTAACGGTTCTGTGCCCTAAGTAACAATTCTGTGTCCCTCAGTAACAAATCTGTGTCCCTCAGTAACAATTCTGTGTGTCCCTCCCTCAGTAACAATTCTGTGTCTGTCCCTGAGTAACAATTCTGTGTCTGTCCCTGAGTAACAATTCTGTGTCCCTGAGTAACAATTTCTGTGTCCCTCAGTAACAATTCTGTGTCCCTCAGTAACAATTCTGTGTGTCCCTGAGTAACAATTCTGTGTCCCTGAGTAACAATTCTGTGTGTCCCTCAGTAACAATTCTGTGTCCCCTCAGTAACTCTGTGTCCCTCAGTAACAATTCTGTCCCTGAGTAACAATTCTGTTCTGTCCCTGAGTAACAATTCTGTGTGTCCCTAAGTAACGTTTCTGTGGCCCTAAGTAACGTTTCTGTTTCTGTGGCCCTAAGTAAATTTCTGTGGCCCTAAGTAACGTTTCTGTGTCTGTCCCTAAGTAATGTTTCTGTGGCCCTAAGTAACGTTTCTGTGGCCCTAAGTAACAGTTCTGTGGCCCTCAGTAACAGTTCTGTGGCCCTCAGTAACAATTCTGTGTCCCTCAGTAACAATTCTGTGTCTGTCCCTGAGTAACAATTCTGTGTCCCTAAGTAACGTTTCTGTGGCCCTAAGTAACGGTTCTGTGGCCCTCAGTAACAATTCTGTGTCTGTCCCTAAGTAACAATTCTGTGTCTGTCCCTAAGTAACAATTCTGTGGCCCTAAAGTAACTTCTGTGGCCCTAAGTAACGTTTCTGTGGCCCTAAGTAACGTTTCTGTGGCCCTAAGTAACGTTTCTGTGGCCCTCAGTAACAATTCTGTATCCCTCAGTAACAATTCTGTATCTGTCCCTGAGTAACAATTCTGTGTCCCTAAGTAACAATTCTGTGGCCCTAAGTAAAGTTTCTGTGGCCCTAAGTAACGTTTCTGTGGCCCTAAGTAACGATTCTGTGGCCCTAAGTAACGTTTCTGTGGCCCTAAGTAACGTTTCTGTGGCCCTCAGTAACAATTCTGTGTCCCTCA